CAACGGATTGTCCCCGCACACTATGTCGCTTTTAACAAACGGCCAACGAAGAACAAGCCGCAGAAAGAGACCCCACCTCGGCTGGAGCAGAAGGTCTTTAGAAGCACTTTATACCTAAAAGTCGTTAAAAAGTGTCGGGTTCGCTTTCCGCTGCCACCAGTGTGGTGTCCTGAGGCTTTCCATAGGGTGGAAGAAGGCATAAGTGAAGTTGAATGCATGTATTCCGAAGACGACAGAGCAAATTGGGGCTGAGCGTGGCCCGAAGGTCAGCCCACATGTACAGGGGACAGACAAATTCTAAAGTGATCGCCAAACGTCAGGTAGTCACATAAACAATGCATTGCATCCGCTGTGACGTTTTTCTTGCAATGTGTTTTCTATTTGACCTCTTGACATTTGACAGTCATTCGTACATGTAGGCTGGCCCTCGAGCTACATTATTGGCAGTAGAAAGCTAACCGAAATTTTCAACGAATTCTATCTTAGCACGCACCGTTCGTTGCATTTATTGACGGTTGGAGGAAACGCACTTATCTCGGTGACGGAGAATCGCCAAAGTCCTTACAACAAATGGGTCGAGACTGACGTCTGCATTTGGCTTCACCTTATTTCCGTTTTCCACAGACCAGATATTAACAACTAAATTGACACTGCCTTGAACCATGTGAAAAAGTTTAGTGTCGGATTTTCTTATATAAATTCCATGTAACTGTTGTCTGGCACAGTTGGCTCGTGGGTACTGTAGTTACTGCCTGTCAACCCTCTGGTCCCTGGTTCTCAGACTTTAAAGGGAAGTTGGTTGTAGACGATTTATTAGGCATCTCTATAAGAAGGAAAGGGGAATAAGATACAGATGTGATGAACAGGATGTGTCAATCGCAGGGAGGCTCCTCGTCGACCTCGCGCCCGTGATCCACGCTTCCAATTGGTTTCCGCCTCTCGCCTATAAAAGTCCACTTAAACAACTAGAATATATTACAGGTACCTTCTCGTAGTACCGAATATGTTGTGATGGCCGGCGCGGGAGAGGGTCAATGCGCTGCGCTATTTATTTGACCCCCTGAAGTTTGGCGATTACTTTGAGAATTATCTAGCCCTTGTGCGTTTGGGCTAGTCTTTGGGCCACACTCAAGCCTAGTCGCTTCGTTCTCTTCAGAAAAAGTGTAGCCAGCCTTACTTACTGCCTTCTTCCACCCGGTGGGAAGTCTGGAGACGCTACAGTGCAGTCCTCTAATTTAACGGTATTCGATTTAAATGAATCTTTTAACTTTTGATAAAAACTTTATGGAAGCTTGCATTTGGCAGTGAAAGAGCAAGCTTAAATCATCTGCAATGGCTCGCTACATCTTTGGTATCTTAAACTTTTGGAAATTACGATAATTTAAATCATACTATGACACCGGCTGACATCAGTCTCTGGTCTGCATATAAGTTAGTCAGTTATCTGGGGATTAATTAATGTAAGGTTCCTGCAATTGACTATACGCAAACAATAATTTTTTACACTAATTGGCATGAATCCGAAGTCCAAAAATAAAGCAGTTTATATTTTTTGAACTTCAAGTTTAAATTCGAAAGCTCTGATGTAGTTACGGCATTACTTATGCGCCTTACCCGTGGTTAATATCCGTGTCCCAAGTCGGTTTTTGTTTGAATTACCTACTCCTGACAGGAAATGTTACCCAGCGCATTACAATCCTAATTATTTGTGATCCACTCGTGGTTTACTGGATGCGTGGTGGCTATTATGATTGATGAGGTTGAAGATGTTAGAATTCCATCGTACCAGACCTTCGAATCACTTTCACTTGTTAAAAGTCAACGTGAAGATAGTCACCTAGGTCAAGGTCGTGTTATGTATTTTGGGGAAGACCTTATTCATTCAGTTCCCTTAGTGGCATCGAAAAGATCCAAGAAAATACCTCGTAGTTCTGAATCATCAAGGGTTCATGGATTTTCATCGCCTGATTCATCCTGGGCATCTCCTGATACATCGGAATCTGGTGTAATTAACTCAGCAAAAAACAACCAGTCCTTGCAGCCGCCTTCTGCCTTCTTTACTGATGAAATGACACCAGAGTTTGCATTTACTCAATACCAGCGGCGGTCGGAAGACCAAGCCTGCCAGGTCTGTGGGCAACCTTCTGTTGGATTTCACCACCGCGCCTATGTTTGTGAGGCGTGCAAGGTGCGTATGATTTCCTTGCACAAGTATACACTCTTCTTTAGGTTGTTTTTTTCTGAGAATCTAGGCTTTGGGAATTCTCGACGCAATGGTTTTTGGTACTAGATTAGCTAAAATCGATTTACTTGCTTACCCATGTCTTATACTAACTTCGGAGTTTAACTTGATTAATTGCAGTACTATTGATGCTAATCATTCTGGCAAGAGGAACGGCTTAAATTGAACTGAATTTTAGTTTGCTTACTTAGTAATGATTTGTTTCGTTGCTTGCATTTCCCCGTTTGGCATAGGCTGGGATTTGACTTCATACTTGGTTCTCCTTGTCTATGGGTCCTCTTCCTCGTTTAGTGGTCTTTGATAAGCTTGTGTGGGTCGTAACCCATTTTGGCACGACTACTTTTTCAAATCCTTTGGCAGTATATATACCCGACTAATTTCCCACGATTTAAGCATATTGGCTGCCCTCTTTTGAGCGGCTGTTCCAAAGTGGTTATTTTGTAATGTAGCAGTTTACACTTGTGCATTGGTTATAAGCATCGCTGTTTAACCACATAGCATATTTTTGTGTACGGGGACGCTTATCGATTTACCCTTCAAACAGCTTCTTTGTGTCCTTGTTACTTCAATTTGTGCATCTGTTGATCTACTTTAACAAACTACACTGTTAAGCGCATAATTTTAATTCACTTAGAAGTTTTTCACTCGCCATCTGACTAATCGGATTAAGAAGGACAAGTCGACCAATGGAGAAGGCGAATCCGCGAAGGCTTCTACTCAGAGAGTCGAAATTTATCCGGATCTGAACGTTGTTTGCCCGATGGGTGGTAATTGCAAAATTGAGGGACCTGGCCGGGGCAAATGTCCACATTGTCGCTTTCGAAAATGTCTTGATCTTGGCATGAGTCTCACGCGTATGTTCACATACTCTCAAATATTTTTTTTTAATTTGTAATGGAGCTTCCTTTCACCGTTCCCCTTCTCCCTTTGGAAAAGAAATTCCATAGCAATTGAACGTATTAGATTTGTACTGCTTTCCTTCTTTATCCTGACTAATCTTATGTGAGTGTGAGTGTACAATGTAGCGAGCACCAGTAGTAATTGTTTTTTTTTTGTGGGACTTTTAAATGCTAAATCTGTGCTCATATTGGAAGACAATAATCCAATAATTCGAAGTATGCTCAGAAGCACTTGGAACAGTTTTTATAAGAATGTGCTGCGACTGTTGAAAATTGATTTTGTCGGGGATTATGGTTGTTTGGCTCAAATTAAAAGAGGAACAAAAGGGGGTTTATGGGCTACAAAGTTATGGTCATATCAATCTAAGTGCATGGGCTAACCGACTTGTTCATGAACCATACTCTTTCCAGTGTCAATGGTAGGCCTTTTCATGACGCAAAGTTCAGCTTAGTCTTTGAGCTCATGCGCCCACTGATCTACATGTTGGAATTAAGGTCAACGAAGGCTATCTTTGATCCAATTTCCAGCTACGAAGATGTTTGCATGACTGTCTGTTGAATGACCGTCTTAAAAATGCATGTGTCTTCAGTTGGTAAATGGCCATCTACTCCGCCGACATCTGGATTGAAATGCAAAGTTAATACAACTAAGGGTAAATAAGATTTAGGTTTCACGGCTTCGCGACAAAATTGTTATTAGACTTGCATTTGAATGGAGTAATCAACGGTACCTATGACTCAGGCTGTGTATTTCAGCCCCAGGTGGAGAGATCGGTTGTGACGTCTCCAAGATTCCATGTAGAGTGTGTGGTGGGCCCTCCTCCGGTTTTCACTTTGGTGCCCTGACCTGTGAGGGCTGCAAGGTAGGCCGAATCTGTTGCCTTTGTTTGTGGTTATCAGTAGTCTTTGCATAGATCCTTACAGTTCATTAAGTCTTTAGTCTCATTTAGCTCGGTTACTCTTACAAGCAGATTTCGTTAATTTGAATGAAGACGTAATTGTCGAACAGAATTACTCAAATGTTTCTTGTGTGGATTGTTTTTTGTTCTCATAGGGTTTTTTCCGACGAACGGTCCATTCAAACAGCATCCCACAATGCTTGGGCAACCAGACTTGTCGCATCACGCCCTCTAATCGCAATATGTGCAAGAGTTGTCGCTTTAAAAAGTGCCTCGAGGTGGGAATGTCTCAAAAACGTAAGTTACTGTTTTTTTTATCTTTTTCATGACCTAAATTGACCGCTAGTGTGCATTTAAATTCTAGCCTATAGTAGCGCCTAAAATGCGTATGATCAACACAGGGTATCGTTTAGTTCTCAGGTTGCGCATTCAGCCTCTTCCCTTCTCTTTTCAAGTCACCTGCATTTAATAATGTATCAACGGTGCTATTCCAAACTAAATAGGTAAATATTTGCCTCCAAAACTGTCTGTTTATAGTTCATGATGGTAGTTTTACCAGACATCGCGATGGCGCGTGTTGTTTTCACATCGGTCCAGTTTTCTGACAAGGAGATGCGTCGACTTTCTTCCCTTGGGTTTCCGTCTGCCTTTGAAGTAGTCGACAGTTTGGCATTCTTAGGCAAAATTAGCAGTCCTCGAACCTATCTCTGGTATCCTGTTTCATAGGTCTCCTCAGGCAACGGTGAAGTGAAGCGAACTGAACATTGGTTTCATTGAACTTAGGATTGTAGAATAAATTGCAATAATTTCCACGATGCTACTACTAAAACATACCCTAATATCCTATTCCTGCATTGGTCGTCACAGTGTGTTTGTTGAGACGATCTTGGTACTCCCTGAAGTATCTTGTATGAGACAGCGGTAAATTTATCGACCCTTCGAGGTCCATTGAATGCACTTGTGATGGTAAATGTGTGGGAAAATTAGGTTCATTTATGAACGCTTGTCTAGCAAGATCACAATTAGGGATGTAAACTTTTGCTTAACTTACAGTAGGCAAATCGTGCTCTAAAAAGGTTCTGGCGGTATCGATGTTGTCTCAAGGTGTCATGGACCGATACTCAACTTTGTAAGTCCGAGCGAGTGAATGGCGAAGGCCATACATTGTTGACAGAGGTACCTTTTATTTCTCACTCTTGTGGATTGTTTTCTAAGAATTGAGCACTTTCAAGCCGCATTGAGAGCCTTCACTTTGTGTACATAACTTTACTGCACATGTGAATAAATTTATCATTCTTGTCGTCTCCTCTGGTAGGTAAAGTTGTTCTAGTACTTTACTTTTACGTACGTCGTCAACGCAGTTGTATGAAAATGTGAACGACTGGCTGTCTCCTCGCCCTGACCCTACCCCCTTTACCTATGGCGGCTCTTCATTCAAAGCGTACGGGATTTTGTTGAAGCTTGTGGTGAAGACTGCATAATTTAGTTCAAGCGGTATTATAGTCGTTTTATTAAGTGGGTGACGTATTTATACCTGTTTTTTTTGTTGCAAAACAGAGAGTTAAGGTTGCAATTAAAAATGGGAACAGCGTAAACAAGTGTTCTGCAATCTGTTACTTTCCCTCCAGCATCTGATCGATGTCACACAATCGTTAAGTTGTTAACTGGGGTAGCATTGAATTATTTCATATCCAGCTTCGTAGGGGAGGACATTAAGCAACCGCTGCATGTCACCGTGTTCGACTTTTAATTTGAAGGCAAGTGTTCACTTATGGAAGGATTGATTTTTGGAGTGATTACAGTTTTTTTTAGTTGCAGTTCTTATGAATCTTATCAGCAAAAGGCTTGTTGTGAGGCCTAGAATAAACGCTGTTAACAACGCTCAAGGTAGTAGTAAGGTCTTCGCATCCATCCTAAATCTGCATTTTGGTGGTTCCATAGTTCTAGTCTGTTGGAATCTGTTATCGGAAAAGTTTGAGTTTCCTCTGAGTTATTTGGTATTATCAACAATGGTTTCATCAGGCAAAGCACCTTTTTTCTTGTAGCAAAAAAACTGCTAAGACATGCCATTTTGTCAGGGTTAGTGAATAAGAACGATGGACAAAACGAAGACCTGTTGGTTGACCATTTTATATTGGTAATTATATCCACACTACATCTAAGACATGTCAGTTAACCTTCTCTGGTTTGTTTATGCTATCTGGAATGGCACAGTTTTTTACAGACCTATAAACCATCTAAGGGACGTCCTTTCAGTATCAAATTTGCTGCTTTCTGAGTTTTGTCAGCTCTGCTTTGAACTCTTGACCCATCTGTATCGATAAAAATTTCCCTTCTCATTTACTTCTTTGACGGCCAATTTTGTGAGGTTTCATGACTCATTCCTTTTCCTTAAAGGGAGTCGCGTTGGTCGACAGCCGAATGCTATAAAATACTACTGCGTACGAGAGATCTCTCAGCGAGAGCTGAATGGCAGACTTCCGTCCCCGGCTGGCTCGTCGCCATCAAGGGGACCTTCGACTCAAAATAACCATGTTGGAGATCCTGCGCCGTCTTCTCCGAGGCGGCGTCAGACCGCGCTCCCACTAGCAACTGCTGGTGCTCTTAAAAGATCTCTCAGCACCCTTGAGGCGGTCGATGTGGCAGTGGTACCAACGGCCACCGCCACGGCCTCAGCAGCAGGTTCGGTATCATTGACAGTCGACTTAGTTAACGCTACTGACGGAGAGGGAACCAGGAGTCGAGCGTCTACTCTCAGTGCCTCCTCGGGCGTTTCATCCTCTAGCGTAGCCTTTCAGAACCCTCTGGATGCTCAACAGACCTCTCCCGTCGTTTCATCTGCCTCCTCCCTTAAGAGACTTAAGGTTGAGGATGCTCAAGAATACGATGCTGGGACAGACATGGTCGGCAGCAGTTTTTGTCAGCAACTTGCTTCTGTATCTGTTGCAAGTTCGCTTGCTAATCATTTTCTTCTGTGAGTCATCCAATTCTTACGAAGAACATAATCAACAAATAAATTGCTAACGGACCCAATCTAGAATCTTACGTTCCTTTGTAGAAATCCCCAATTCGCGAGTGGAAGCTGTTCCTCTCAGCTCCATCACTCTCAGCCCACTCCAACTGCGGAGTTTTTAAGCCAATTAGCAAAGCATCATCCTACAATGGTGGCAGCGGCGGCAGCAAGTCTCCTTTGGGGCAATCCGCCCAATGGACCCGTGTTCGAGTCTGAGCACATCCAAACCGCGGGGCTCCCATCAACTCAACTCTCGTGCTACTCCTCTTCCCCCAGATTCCATTCTCATCAGCACCCTGCACCGTCGCCGGCCCTTTCGACTACTTTTCAACCTGTTGACATGGTGGTGCATCAGCCAGATCCGTCCGGATGCGTGCCTTCGTGCCTTGGACCCCCAGTGGCAGTTGCTAAGCCGCACGACCAGCCGGGGAACCAGTGTCTCCATGATGATGTTATTCGAGAGGGTTCTGAGGCCGCCTCGTCCCTGGAGGAGAGCATTCGAGTTAGTCTATTCTCTGCAGAATATTTCGAGGTTGACTTCAGCATTCAAATGAATTTATTACTACATAGCTTAAAGCTACACTAAAAGTTTTCAGCTATCCTCGTCAGTAAATTCTAATTACTCCGCACCGAAGACGTATCTGCGGTTTTGGTTCTTCACCCATAAATGTTCACTTCGTCGAGGTTGTATGGCTTCGACTGCTTTTAGCTAACGTACAATTGCGCAATAGCGTTGTTTAGAAGTGATAGGCATTGGAGGCATGCTGTGTCTCCCATCTTTTAAGTAGAATTGGAGTTGACTTATCTTCCGATTTTTTGTCTTCACAGACGAATGTGTTTGTAACTCTTGCGGAGTTTACTCAGGGAATCGAACGAGCCACTGATTTTCTGCGATCTGAACGCATGGTGAGTTAAAGTGCGATATTTATTTTGAATGATGACATCCTAGAGAAGGTTAGTTTAAGTTTTCCAACCTTAATCATCTCATTTATGTAGGTGGATCATTAAATCATGGGTCAGTTGTCTGTGCGTTGCTAGGCGGATTCTAGGTGCCTTTACAGGTCAGACGGCCTTTTTAATATCGCAATCCCTTTGCTTTGTAGGGGTCAAATGTGGCCTTTCTGACATGCGAGAACACGCTCCTTTACCTAAGAAATGTTGTAATTTCTGGTTTTGAAAGATTGGAATGATTCTTAGGCATTGAAATCGTGTAGGAAACAAGTTACGAACAATGTCAAAATGGAGATTTGAGTTGATGGCCCAGGAGCTTGAAATTGCTCTCCATGTAGTGGCAGCTTGTGCTATTTTACAGCGGTTAAAACGGATACGGAACGATCCCCAGCCCAGATTCACCAACTTTGATACCATTGAACGAGTCTGGTCCCAAATGATGCGGCAGTTCGTTTCACACACCAGAATGGTCGTTGATTTCTCGAAACTCATCGCGGGTAAGTCGTTGATCCATTTATCAATCACGTGGCTGTGTGTGTGCAAACGTACCTGCGTGGATAAACACAATTTTTGCAAGCATGTTACAATCGGTTGAAATGTTTGAACTTTTTAGCTCAAGTAATTGGGACCGTCTGAGATGGAATACTTTGAACAACCGCTCGTAAATATGGATGATTTTGTACTTGAGATTTCCAAACTACTAAAAATCTGAAGGTTCCTGTGTGAATTTGTGCCATAAATACGCTTCGAATCATGTCCCCAATCCTTACCCTTGTTGGTTCGTGTATATTAAATCAAAACCCTTGTGATGATTTTATTTTTGGGGTAGTCGAACTGTTTCGGCCCACTCAAGTTGGCTTCAGATTAGTGTACATCTTTTTTATTCACGGCATCACAAAGTAGCAATTGGACAAGTAATTGTCTGAAGTGTTCCGTGTTAGCAGTTTTGGCATTCTTTTATCGGTCTGCTCCGCGCTAATGCAGCAGATTTAAACGAAAAGTACTCAGCAAAGACTCGACAGAACATTTGTTTGATAGGTTAGCTGTAAGCTTAAGCGGGCTATGTACAATCTTGCGTTAGTCTGTTCCAGAACCGCAGCATCCTTTCCTTCATGGGCATACTTAATTCTCTTAGACTACCATATAATGATGAAATTCAATGAGACTGAAAAGCTCAGGTTTGTTATCTTTGGTGCTCTCAATAGTCAACCGCATCCCCATCCCTAAGTCTCATGTTCGTTATGGACTTTCCTCTTGAACTTTTTTTCGAACGCTACGCTTGATCAGTCCAATCTATTTGTTGCAACTTGGTTCAAATTTCTTTTCTGAAATACGGCCGATTTAGATTTAAACCAGATTTGAGTAAATATCCTCCTTTCGGCTCCACCAGACACATTCGAATGAAGTTATGTGGAAAATATCACTTTCGCCATTTAAGTACCTATCACTCAATCATGTTTGAAAGGGTGATGGTACAATGATGTACGTGCAGACACCGTGAAAGCTAACCTTCAGAGGGCTTACCTTTGGACCTTTTAACCCATTTTGTTTATCCTTGCGTGTTCAGACATTTCTACTACAATTCAAGCTGTGCCTTCTATAAATCTCAGTATATCACCCAGGCCAAAGAACTACTCCGTGTAGATTTAATTATTGCCGTATGTTGATAGGTACCTTCCCGTCACAGCATAGTAGGAATTGGGATACCTGTTAGAATCTTTGCGAATAGACAACACTTGGACATTTACCAATTGATGATCCTGTCAGGTCATCCACACCATGCCCATTGTACGTTTTCAATTCGTTCATTTGAGGACAGTTTTAAAACGTATGAGTTCACTGTCTTTGAAAGTTGTTTGAATCAAGGACAGGCAGTTTTGAGGTGGCAGAGCTAGGCCAAACAGCACATGGGTCGATGGGTGCTCATTTCCGCCTTTAAATTTGAAATAAAACTGACTGTTTTACGTGCTCATATTCTTGTATTAGATTGATTGTCCTAATTTTATTGCGCTAATTAGCGCCTTATTCACTCATGATGTCGATTGTGCGCTCTAAATGATACCTTATTTCCCGTACACCATCATCAAGACCCCTGCTCCAGTACTGCCCAACTGGCCAATCAGGTATCGTCTATTGCGTAAACACGAAAAGCTACTCTCAAGGTCCCTTAAGGAGACTGTTCAAAAATACTGTCTGCGTAACCTTGAATCTTGGTTGTTGTTTTTGTGATCAAAGTTAATGGATGAAAACTAGGTTCCCCCTGTGCATTTTCTCCCTCTCCTTCCTTTTGTGCCTCCTTTCTTTATGTAGGTTTCAATCGGCTGGGCATCAATGACAGAAGACAATTGATTCGCGCCGCCATGTATCCCATTATGCTGATAGAACTGAGTAGGGACTTTCAGAACAATGGCAGTCTCTCCTACAACTATTTTGATTTTCTGTACGTTCAGATTCTTTCATGTCATAAATGCTCATTGGTGGCGTGAATGCAACCCATTTCGAGGTTCTACCGATCACTTTCCTTGCAGACATACGCAAGCATTTCAACTGCATCACACGAGAGTCGATGTTTTTCTTCCCTCTTTCATCAGAGGTGTGGTGCGTGTGTGCGTGTACGTCTGCTTGTTGATGTGTAACGCAGTCCAGGCGTTATGTGCCTGTGTGTGTAGGTGCGATGTGTCATCCACCTTGGCCGGATTATTGGACATCGGCCAAGCCCATTTTGCGGTGATTCGCGTGCCAGTGTCGCTGCCTTGCTCTCCCGCTCTCCCTGTAGGCTACTGCACGCCGACTGTCGCGCAATGCCAATCGGGCAGCGGGTAGCAAGCAGCGAACAATGCAAACTGCTATCTTGTCCTCTTCCCTTTCCAAAGTACCACTCTTAAGTGAGTGACTGCGCTTTGCTCCGTTTAAGAGCTAACGGACACATATTTGGAATAACATAGGTCTTCAGATTAACTCAAATTACACCTTTTTTGCCATAGTGAAAGGGAGAGCTACCTCGTTAAGGCGATGTAAATTGTCGCATGTTCTCGGCAGAATGGACTTTACACTTTCATGCCAAAGGGAAGGAAAAGAAATAAAGCAAAGGAAAGATGAGGAAGGCTAATAGGAGGAACGTAGCGAGTAGACTAGCGAGCAGGCGATGCAAATGTGCCAGACATTGTGGGTGTGTGGTTAAGGTTAATTAGGCGAATCGACTATCTTTCCTTTGGCAAT